ATGAAAATTAGATGTAGCTTTATTTCCTTTTCTTATCTCAGGCCTTGATTTCCTTGGCTTAACTATAAGCAGGGCTTTTCAACCTTTTCACCCATTGTACCACTTTTAGGATATGGCAACATCCAAGTACCACCAGTCGCCTAGCAAGATGTCAAAAACTTGATGACCAAAAAAAAAAAAAAAAGGAAAAAAGTGATAAAGTACAGGTAGTCCTCGACTTACAACAGTTCGCTTAGTGACTGTTCGAAGTTATAATGGCATTGAAAAAAGTGCCCCCCAAGCCACAGCCGAGCAAGACACCTGCCTGCCCGCCCGGCGGCGCTCTTCCTCCTGTCCGAGGTTTTCATTGTTGTGAGCATTTCTGTTGAGGATTGGCAGCAGGGGTGGGGTGTGTGGGGGGGTGTTTGGTTTTTATTCCCCCCATCTGCTGGGTGGTTGCAGCAGTTTTTGGTCACTTCACATGACCCTGGGACACTGTGACCGTCATAAATATGAATCGGTTGCCAAGCATCTGAATGTAAATCACAAGACCCTGGAGATGCTGCAAAATTCCAGCTGATCGGCGCTTCTTCTGGGCTCAGCAGAAGCGCCAGGATCAGTGCTGCTTTCCAGCTGATTGGTGCTTCTTCAGGGCTCAGCAGAAGCACCAGGATAAGCGCCGAGCTCCAGCTGGAGCCTGGCATTGATCCTGGCGCTTCCACTGAGCCCTGACAGTCCCGAAGAAGCGCCGATCAGCAGGAAAGCGGCACTGATCCTGGCGCTTCCGCTGAGCCCGGACACCCCTGCAGCTCCAGCCATCTCTCGCTCAGGCTTGTGCGGTACTGCCACCGGTTCAGCTCATTCCCCTCCCCCGCTACCACTTTTCTAGGATGGTCGCATACCACCTGCCAGGTGCCAATGTACCACAGGTGGTACCCGTACCACTGGTTGAAAAGCCCTGAACTATAGTTTACCCCTTTCAGCAGTTTATGTGAAGGCACTTGTTCTGAAAGTGCATAGCATTATGGGTATGAATATATGTTTCCTCCTCCTCACTCTTGGTTTTAATGTGCTTGCCTTCTGATTTGAGATTAATTTTTGCTAGTTTATAATCCTGCCTAGTTTTTGCTAGTTTATAATCCTGCCTGTGTTTGAAATTTGCTTGAATGTTATCTTGGGAAGTCTGAATCTCACTGCAACAAAATGTCCATTTGTTGTGCCCCCATAACCATTTCTATGACATTCTAATAAATTACTACAGTACTGGTCAGTGATTGGGTAATGACCTAAAATCTTATATATATATTTTGCTTTCCAGAGCCTTTCTTCTCCATGATGTTGGTGGTTACAGAAATGAATTTCTCTTTAGATTTGCAGGTACAGTAGTTGATAGCTTTGGATCATGGGTTTTTTTTTTTGTATCTTTCTTATGATGGATTTGTTGATATTCTTGCTGTTTTTTCAAGCCTTTCAGTTTAATCTCTAATTATGGGTGTCATAGATTGTTGAATTTCTGTTTGCAGAATTCCAGTTTCTTGGATGAAAGCTGGCAACTTCCGGTAAGAGATGTTTAATTTTTCTTTCTTTGATGCCTCCTATTATATAATTAATTATATATATTAATTCTCCTGTCCTGATTTATAACTCATAATATTCTGCTGTTCTCTTTTTTTACTGATCATGCGAGCTTTAATATTTTCATGAATGGAAGGCCAAACTGGCATTTCATCTTTGGGGCTGGAATTTAATTTTTATACTATCTTACACAGAACTGGCGACAAGGACACGGAACTCTTAGAAATCTGCATTTGGGGCATGTTTTTGAATTTGATAATGAGCTTTTAATGTGCTTTCTAATCATGAATCCAACCTCAGCTACAAAAAAAAACATTCTATGAAATTTGAGCTTCAAGTTCAAATAGTACTTCTCTCCATTATGTATGTTTTTGTTGAAATTTTAATATTTGCCTTTTTAGTATTTCAATTGTATCTAAAGGTTTAGAGTTCTGATTTTTGCTGGATCATGGAAATAGGCTGTCAGTTTAATAATTGTTCTTAAATTGTATCTGTTATAAACATGTTTATAGTCTTGTGTGGAGAGAAAAGATACTATGGTAAGACGAAAATAGTTTCATGCTATCAAATTGAGCCTCAGGCTGACCCAGTATATTTCTAAACTGTGCTTGATTTAGTGCATTAAATTGAGATAAGCTTCTGCATTTGCATAATTATGACTTCTTACAACTCCTATAGCATGACTAATTGTGAGAGGTGCTGGGAGCAACATACTGACATGCTATGATTGGTTTGCCCTCTTAATTCTCAAAATCAGGATAATTTAATTCAAGTTGTGATGAAACTAAATCTGCCTTAGAATCCTGCTTTCCCTACAATTAATGCTATTGTTTCACTTTATAACAGCAATTCTGTTTTTTCCTTTGTGAATAAATGGACATTTCAAGGCTTCGGTGACCTTTATAAAGTCCCTTTCAAGTGCTTATGCACATAGAAAGATGCATATAATTTCCCCATAGACATGATAGGTATACAAATCATTGATTTACTGTAGTATTTGCCATTTATATGTAACTTGAAATCCTTGACTCAGTTTTTTCCCAATCAAATACAGCTTTCTTCATTACATTAATTCCATTAGTATTAACATTAATTTTGGAATCTATATGGCTTGTGCATATACAGTTTTATTTTAAATTTTCTGCATATCATTCAAGTTCTTAACTAACAATATGGCATCCTATGCATAAAAAGTGCATATCCTAATCAACACACCTCTGACATCACCGTTCTGCGAATCTTATGCAGCAAGTAAGCAGCAAAGGAAATGTCACATGTCCTTATCTTACCACTTCCACTTACCACTTCCTCAGTGTTAGACCTTTTACTAAGCATTCCATTTATCTTTGGGCATGCCTTATTTACAACTTATGTACAACTGTTATCACGCTCAACAACTGTCAACTTTATATAGAACATTTCAAGTGGAAGGTTATCATTTTGTTGTACTGTTTCTCAAAATCAAGTGTACAATAAACCTAATTTCTTNGAGATCCTGGAAATGATTCTTCGGAAAGGATTAAAACGTGAGTAATGTTTTTTGCTCCATAGCTTAATATTGAGAAGTACACTTGAAAAATTTGTTGGTTTTGAAGGCCTGATTTACAGAAAGTCATGCTAATGAGGAAATATTTTTCTTGAAATCAAAAAGAAAAGCCTAGATCTAAAAATATTTGCCTCAGTATAGAATCTGACTAGCATGAGCAATACCAAATTATTGTACGTTGGGCAGTAGCAACCACTGGCTATGAGCATGGTTTATTCCACTAATGGATTAGAAAGGCTATAAGGCAGTGGTAGGATTCAGCCAGTTTGCACCACTTTGGCAGACCGGCAGCTAATTTTTTGTTGCCCAGGCCCAGAATGGACTTCCAGAAGTGGCATTCACACAGACAACTGGTTGTTCACATATTTGAATCCCACCACTGCTATAAGGTAATGAATTAGTAATGAATTAGAAAGGATATAAGAAGTCATCCTTTGAACCAGGAGTCTCCAAATGTGGTAACTTTAAGACTTGTGGATTTCAACTCCCAGAATTCCTCAGCCAGCCAAAATTCAAATCAAGATTTTTTGTAAGTATTTTACATATTTAATCTATTATTAGATTAAATAATATTAGTATTATTGATTCAATATTCTTCTTCAGGATTCAGACCGTAACAGTCCTGTAAAGTATAGTTTACGAAGCATATGGCACCATTAGGAAACCGTTGCATGTAACATTTATAAAGTTCATGTTTTGCAGGTTTCAAGGATATATAAATATGGGTAATCAAACTGTAGTTTGTGCGAAAGACCCCCAAAATTGTTTTAAATTAATAAAACACTTCTTTACAATTGGGGAAGGCACAAAACATTGATGTGTGCACAAAATAGAACCAGGTCATTCTCTGCCAAAGCACTCTGAACCCAAGGTATCATCTAATTGTAGGTCTGCTAAAATGACTATAAAAAGTCGTATGCTGGGAGGTAAGGGATATAATCATCTCTCAATCTTACCATTCTTGCTAAACGATATCTTTTGCCCACTTCAGAGCCAGTCCTGGGATTCAAGAGGAAGGACTATTGGCACTGGCTAGAGCAGCTTCCACAGCAGGAGACCCACCACAGGTGGGTGGTCTCCTGTAGCCTTTGATGATGCTGTAAACGAGAACTCAGAATATTGGATTCTGTTCTCTCACTGTTGCAATTTGAACTCAAAGTTCCCAGACTTGATTTCCTTCTATCGTTCCTATCCAATGAAATCTCACGTCAGCTGGAAATAATAGGAGTTGTAGTCCCATGTTGAAAAAGTAGGAAATGGCGAGTCAGAGATGCTCTAACTTAATGCCTCTCATACTTGTTACAGGTTTCACTGACACCGTACCCATGATTGCTTTTGAATTAGGCATGGAGAAATTGTGTTTTTTGTTATTTTATAAACTTCAACATAATTTTAACGAACAGTAGGGTGAAATATTTTCTTTTTGTGAGGAATTCACAGCTGCTAAAATCTCTGACTTGCTTCAGAGAAAGGATTCATGGAAGGCACATACAAGTAATCCTCATTCAGTGACCACTTGTTCAGCGACCATTCAAAGTTGAATAAGAGGACACATAACTATTCCTCATAGTGCAGAATCCCTACAGGCACATGATCCCAATTTTGGTGCTTGGCAACTGCTTGCAGTTATGACAGTTGCGGCATCCCAGAGTCACATGATCACCATTTGGAATCTTCACTGCTGGCTTCTAACAAACCAAGTCAACAGGGAAGCTGGCAGGAGATCACAAATGGCAATCATGTGACCACAGGACACTGCAACTGTGCAGGATTTGCCTAATGATGGCAGTTGGAATTGCCTCAGCTGCCATTGTAAGTAGACATGGTCATGTGATGTCATGTTTTACAACTGCAGCACACAGCAAATGGCGGATCCCAATTGCCATCGTTAAGGGAGGACTGCCTGTATTATTTTGCGCCTATTTTAATACTATTGAAACAACATTTAGAAATACTCAATAGCAGAGACTGTGGTAACAAGAACTTTTCCACTTGTAGTAGAACCCTTCTATCCATGATGATTGAGAAAACGAATTCTTGTGAGAAGGTGCTGACAGCTCAAGGAAGAGGACGGTACTTCCTGCGTCTGGCTTTGAATGGGAAGTTATTAGCAGTTGCTGTTCAGCAGCTCATCAAAACTCCCAGGCTGCTTGAGGTGATTACATAATTCAAAGGAATTAAGATAATTTGAATAATTACCATACTTTGATTTGTGTCCTTGTCTTTTTGCTTGAGGCCTGTCCTTGAAAACTAGATACAGGCAGTCTTCAATTTATGAACACATTTGGAACTATAATTTCCGTTGTGGGTCAATGTGGTTGTAAAGCAAGCCAGCACATGACTGGATCCAATGTTGGAATCTATAATTCCAATGTTGAAATTCTTATCTCCTATAATTAGTATGATTTTGGGGAGGAGGGGGGGTGTCAACAAGGTTTATGTGGTTGGAGAATAGATCTGTATCGTAACATTGATTGACTTGCCTTGGGCTTCAACAATCCAAGGTCAGGGGTTGAACTGGAAGACCTCTAAAGTCCCTTCTAGCCTTATGATTCTATGATTCTAACTGAGATAAGTCTATCATTTTGGTGTTGCATCCGAATACTGACTTTGACATGCTTTTCTTAATAATAACAGCTATTTTGCATATCTTTTTCTTTGTCTACAACACGGGTGTCAAACTGGCCGCATCATATGACATGTCGCTCCGTATCGCAACTTTTTCCGCATTGCCGGAGCTGGGGTGGGCGCAGCCTCCGCATGATGCAGCCGGCCCGTGGGCCGGCTGTTTGACACCCCTGGTCTACAAAGATATGTTGCTTCCTGGATACAAAATGAGATATTTCAGTTCATTTCAGTTTATTGATTTCCAAAATGTCAGTGTTTCACTTTGACATTTCTGCTCTGCTAACATCTAGTTTGTTTTGCTTTCTGTTCTGCCATTCCATGCACAAATGGTGTAGGTATCTTTGCCCCACAGATCTTTGCTTTTCCTCCCAGGCACAGCTGCATTCAGACATCACTTGAATTTTAATTACATCAAAGGACCAGTGCGCCTTGTACTTGTCTTCTGCTTTTTTCTGGTAGCGCACTGGATACTTTCTTAATGGGAAGCTCATGTTGCAATATCGTGTTGACATTGTTCTGACTGGAAATGTCCAATTGCGTGTTGTTTTTTTTAGCAGAAAAATGGAGTGGGTTACTCTACTTACGTCCTGTGAAGTCTTGACAGTTTTCCAATATTCTATATTTAACATGTCAGGCCTCAAATTTACGCTTTTTGCTTGATTTGTACTCATTATCTCGTATTATCATACACATATATTTTTCAGCTTATTTAAATTATTCTTAGTGTACTGTATGTTTGCTTTTATAATCTGATTTCAGTGTTATGATCCAATAACATCCATCCTGAGCAATGAAGAATTTTCAGGTAAGATTCTGTTCTATCATTATGCTACCATCTCAAGATGCCTCCTTGAATACATCATTGTACTGTATAACAACTTTGTTAATTAATTAATTTCACCTAGCTCATGAATTTGCACATACTTTTATGCCCAGAAGGTTGGCAGCTTTTATTGTAGTAGTTTTTTTAAAATATAAGAACAGGTAGTCCTCATCTTACAACAGTTCATTTAGTGACCGTTCAAAGTTACGATGGCATTGAAAGGACAAGTGAATGTGGGGTTCACACTTACGACTGTTGCAGCATTCACATGGTCACTTGATCAAAATTAAGATGCTTGGCAACTGACTCATATTTATGACCGTTGCACTGTCCTGGGGTCATGTGATCCCCTTTTGCAACCTTCTGACAAATAAAGTCAATGGGGGAAGCCAGATTTACTTAACAATAACAACCTTGCTACTAACTTAAGAAGTGCAATGATTCACTTAAAAACTATGGCTAGAAAGGTTGTAAAATGGGACAAAACTCACTTAACAAATGTCTCATTTAACATCATAAATTTTGGGCTCAATTGCGGTCGTAAGTTGAGGACTACCTGTAACTTAAATTTTGCCAGCTCTCTGGAAAAAGTCCAATCCAAAAAAATGTTTGTGGCCTTTTGTTATTGTGCTATATTTAAAGGAGAAAAAAAATATTCAGTTTTAATTACTCTCCGTTTTGTATCTCTTGAATAGCCTTATATATTCTTTTTCCTTTCCCGTTTCCTATTTTCTTCCTGTTTTGTGCAGCCCCTCTCTTTCTACTAATGCTTTTTGTAGCTCTTGCTTGATTCTTTTTTGTTCCTTTAGTATCCTAAACTTTCTTAGAATCTTATGCTGATATCTCTCATTTGGAATCTCCTTTCTCAGACAAGGAAAAAAAATTGCTAATACAGCTTTCCACAACTCCATGCTCTCCAGATGCCCAGGACACCAGCAGTGTAGTGTACAATTTAATTTCATGGTATCGTTCCCTAGCAACTTTGGGATATCCTATTCCCTACCATCTAAATCAGAGGTAGGCAACCTTGGCTCTTTTATGATTCGTGGACTTCAACTCCCAGAATTCCTGAGCCAGCATGGCTCAGCTTGGAAACCTCTCCCTTTTCCCTCAGTGTGGCTGGCTCAGGAATTCTGGGAGTTGAAGTCCACGAGTCATAAAAGAGCCAAGGTTGCCTACCCCTGATCTAAATTAAGGAAACACATTTTGCTGCCAATAACAATTTACGACTATCTCTTGCTGTGAAGTAACTTTCCCCATAGGGATGCAGAAAAGTGCAAATCCATCTTGTCTTCATCAAACTTTTCTATGAGGATTCAGATAATTTGCACATCAGCTATTTTCAAGGCATTTTATGAAGCACTTGTCTATACATTCTAGTTATCTTGTGAAATGCCCAGAGTTGCTATTTCACTCAAAGAGCTGTGGAGGAAGAGTAAAATAATAATTTAATTAAGTGATTGGAGGCTTCAAGCTTGGTATAAAAAACTTAGAGGTGCTGGTTTATTTTATTTATTTATTTACTTATAAAATTTATAGGCCTCCCATCTTATCCCAAGGTAATGGTTGGGAGAATGAAGTCCAGTACATCTGCAGAATTGCACACTGAGAAATGAACACGAGAAAATAAGTTTACTATAAATTTGTTAATTTTGAAAAATCATACGATATAGTAAATAACCTTGAATTACAAAATGTTCTGCACAAATATGAAGTTGATGGTTAGTGAATGTGATAAAATAGCTGTACATCATGGAATTAAAACATCCAGGAGAATAAATGTAATGCTTACGGTTAGCAAATAGCTCAACCCTAAACAATGAGTAAGGCAAAGATGTGTCATGTTACATTGGGTTGTTTAAAATTTGTTTATGGAAGATGTTTTTAAGTGCTTGTGGCAATATTGGAAGTTTGTTGAGAACCTGAGTGTTCCTATACTCTTCTATGAAAACAATGCCATGTTGTTAGCTGGGCTCCCAAATGATTTGAAGTGAATGTTCCGTAAACTTGAGTGACTCTACAAATGGAATGGATCTGAAACTTAATAAATCAAAGGAGTTATATTTAACAGGGAAGATTGAGTGGAGAATAAATGAGAAAAAAACAAGAACATGTAGAGGATTTTTTATACCTGGCAAAATGTATAATAAAGACCGATAAGCGAATGGAGAAACTTTATGACAAATAAATAAATGCAGGTTAAAAAGTGGAGGGCAGTATGAGTTCTATTGTGAGAAATGAATGATGAAAAAACAAAAATGTTTATAAGAGCATGTTTCTGTCTGATTTTTATATGCAAGTGAAAATTGCATACCCAAGTGAAAGTTGGGTATGTTAGGACAAACAGAAATAAACTGAATGCAGTGGGAGAGGAAACTTGAGGACTGTGTGGTAAAACAAGGGGTTGGTCAAGAATGAATAGGTGCTAAAATGTTGTTATAGAGAATACAAAAATAAAGTGATCTGTAAACAATAAAAAGTATGTTGTGCTGACTTGGTAATATAGCCACTCAGAATTGCTTGCTATAGCAAGATAATAGGAGCTGCGGTGGCACAATGGTTAGAATGCAGTACTGCAGGCTAACTCACTGTTCACTGCCAGGAGTTTGATCCTGACCGGCTCAAGGTTGACTCAGCCTTCCATCCTTCTGAGGTCTGTAAAATGAGGACCCAGATTGTTGGGGGCAACATGCTGACTCTGTAAACCGCTTAGAGAGGGCTGTAAAGCACTATGGGGCAGTATATAAGTCTAAGTGCTATTGCTATAAATTTAATAAATAAAATATAGGCAGAATGAATGAATTGGACTACAGTATTTAAAATATTTGAAGGATTGAGAGGAAAGGAAGAGCAAAAGTTGTGGTTGGAAGGAACTGAGAAGTTCCTCTGAAAGAAAGGGGACACAATTATGAACATCAGTGGCAGTGTATGAAATAGTGTATGGTTGTGGTAGAAATAAAAATAGAAATATATATGGAGAGAGGAATAGTGAACAATGCTGATGAAAATTAGATGTAGCTTTATTTCCTTTTCTTATCTCAGGCCTTGATTTCCTTGGCTTAACTATAGTTTACCCCTTTCAGCAGTTTATGTGAAGGCACTTGTTCTGAAAGTGCATAGCATTATGGGTATGAATATATGTTTCCTCCTCCTCACTCTTGGTTTTAATATGCTTGCCTTCTGATTTGAGATTAAATTTTGCTAGTTTATAATCCTGCCTAGTTTTTGCTAGTTTATATTCCTGCCTGTGTTTGAAATTTGCTTGAATGTTATCTTGGAAAGTCTGACTCTCACTGCAACAAAATGTCCATTTGTTGTGCCCCCATAACCATTTCTATGACATTCTAATAAATTACTACAGTACTGGTCAGTGATTGGGTAATGACCTAAAATCTTATATATATATTTTGCTTTCCAGAGCCTTTCTTCTCCATGATGTTGGTGGTTACAGAAATGAATTTCTCCTTAGATTTGCAGGTACAGTAGTTGATAGCTTTGGATCATGGGTTTTTTTTTTTGTATCTTTCTTATGATGGATTTGTTGATATTCTTGCTGTTTTTTCAGCCTTTCAGTTTAATCTCTAATTATGGGTGTCATAGATTGTTGAATTTCTGTTTGCAGAATTCCAGTTTCTTGGATGAAAGCTGGCAACTTCCGGTAAGAGATGTTTAATTTTTCTTTCTTTGATGCCTCCTATTATATAATTAATTATATATATTAATTCTCCTGTCCTGATTTATAACTTATAATATTCTGCTGTTCTCTTTTTTTACTGATCATGCGAGCTTTAATATTTTCATGAGTGGAAGGCCAAACTGGCATTTCATCTTTGGGGCTGGAATTTAATTTTTATACTATCTTACACAGAACTGGCGACAAGGACACGGAACTCTTAGAAATCTGCATTTGGGGCATGTTTTTGAATTTGATAATGAGCTTTTAATGTGCTTTCTAATCATGCATCCAACCTCAGTTACAAAAAAAAAATGTTCTATGAAATTTGAGCCTCAAGTTCAAACAGTACTTCTCTCCGTTATGTATGTTTTTGTTGAAATTTTAATATTTGCCTTTTCAGTATTTCAATTGTATCTAAGGGTTTAGAGTTCTGATTTTTGCTGGATCATGGAAATAGGCTGTCAGTTTAATAATTGTTCTTAAATTGTATCTGTTATAAACATGTTTATAGTCTTTTGTGGAGAGAAAAGATACTATGGTAAGACGAAAATAGTTTCATGCTATCAAATTGAGCCTCAGGCTGACCCAGTATGTTTCTAAACTGTGCTTGATTTAGTGCATTAAATTGAGATAAGCTTCTGCATTTGCATGATTATGACTTCTTACAACTCCTATAGCATGACTAATTGTGAGAGGTGCTGGGAGCAACATACTGACATGCTATGATTGGTTTGCCCTCTTAATTCTCAAAATCAGGATAATTTAATTCAAGTTGTGATGAAACTAAATCTGCCTTAGAATCCTGCTTTCCCTACAATTAATGCTATTGTTTCACTTTATAACAGCAATTCTGTTTTTTCCTTTGTGAATAAATGGACATTTCAAGGCTTCGGTGACCTTTATAAAGTCCCTTTCAAGTGCTTATGCACATAGAAAGATGCATATAATTTCCCCATAGACATGATAGGTATACAAATAATTGATTTACTGTAGTATTTGCCATTTATATGTAACTTGAAATCCTTGACTCAGTTTTTTCCCAATCAAATACAGCTTTCTTCATTACATTAATTCCATTAGTATTAACATTAATTTTGGAATCTATATGGCTTGTGCATATACAGTTTTATTTTAAATTTTCTGCATATCATTCAAGTTCTTAACTAACAATATGGCATCCTATGCATAAAAAGTGCATATCCTAATCAACACACCTCTGACATCACCGTTCTGCGAATCTTATGCAGCAAGTAAGCAGCAAAGGAAATGTCACATGTCCTTATCTTATCACTTCCACTTACCACTTCCTCAGTGTTAGACCTTTTACTAAGCATTCCATTTATCTTTGGGCATGCCTTATTTACAACTTATGTACAACTGTTATCACGCTCAACAACTGTCAACTTTATATAGAACATTTCAAGTGGAAGGTTATCATTTTGTTGTACTGTTTCTCAAAATCAAGTGTACAATAAACCTAATTTCTT